GTGTTATTTTGCTATCGTATTGCTGTTACGTTGCTGTTATATTGCCATTATATTGCTGTTATATTGCTGTGATATTGCCATTGTATTGCCTGGTTATTGTGGTTATATTGTGTTAAGGTGGGCTTGAGTTCAACTACAGTTCTTGAATGCCAACAAGGATTTGAGCTTGAACTGTAATGGTTTGAGAAGTTATTAATTTTGATTGGCTTGCCTTAGTTAAAGGACTCAGACTAGTGGCAATTTGAGTTATATTGCCCATTGCGTGTTTATGCTGGCTGTGTCTCTGTTAGGTGGGCAATTATCTGACCGAAGTCTTGAGAAGGTTGGCTTGAACATGAGGCACATGATCTGAAAGTTAAGTCATGATTGTTGATTACGTGTGCCCTCATGTGATCAAAGAGACAAAAGCCACCCCATTTGATCTGAGGGATAAAAATCTTACCCCCACCCCCCAAAAAAAAAACAAAATCTGTCTTAGTTATGAATAAGTTTGTAATGGTGTTAGGCGGACTTGACTAGTTATGAGTAGTCAGTAATGGTTACATGCATCTCAGACTCTCTATTTCTTTACTAAGCCAATGTCCCAAAAGCATATTGATCACCGTATTAATTTCTTATGACCACATTCTCCAAAGGATCTTATGAGTGCTTTCAATTTGTCAACAATGGCAAAAAATGGCCTACGTTGCACCAAGTCCTTGTTGGCTGTACTTATGACAAATATTTTTGATTCATGGTTTTTGAGGGGACGATTATCTTATGGTTGGTTACAATGGGATTCCATTCAAAATTATAAAGTTTTTTAATATTTCATTTTTTACTTATTCTTTGATTTTCCTTTTGTATGTTTGTCTCTTGAATGATATCAAGAGGTTGCATGTTGATTGATGGCGGTTAGTTGGAAACAGTGGGTTCTAAAATTGACCTCATTGTTTGCATTTTTCTTCTTCTTCTTATTAGATAATGGAGAAATATCTATTTTGATTTGAAATTCTGCATTTTTGAAATATATTGCGTTGGTGTCACTTGTGTGCCTTATCTGTTAATATTAGCATGATAACAATCTGTCTTATGCCACAGAAATCAGCTGGAGGAGTTTTGCTGCCCAAATCAGCCGTTAAATTTGAGCGGTATCTTATGGGAGAAGTATGTCTACTGTTTCTGTCTCGTTATGATTAATTTTTTTTTTGAAGTAACAAGTTGAATATCAGGATATTCTAACGAGCATTGTTATTCTCAGATTCTTTCTGTTGGTGCTGAGGTTGGGGAAGTCAAGGCTGGAAAGAAGGTGAGCAATTAAAACATTCTCAAATAATGGCAACTGTCTTCTGGTCTGAAATAATGTTGATTTGTGACATATATTGTTGCTTAGACGATAAGTTTCTGAGCTAGTGAAGTTTTTTGTTGTTTAATGGTTTATTTCCAAGTAGTGATTTAGGTGCTTACCATGTCATCTGAATTTTTGAAATCCTTATCCTTTTGCAGGTTCTTTTCTCGGACATAAATGCATATGAGGTAAGTAGAAGTAATTCAGTTGAAAATGTTATACAGCTCTGATGTTAAGAGTCTAAAATAAACATTGATGAAGGACTTCCACTGTTTTATATGAGTATGTTCCATCACATTGTTAACCTGTGCGTTGTAACTTCTGGACACTTAAATGGCATAGAACGAACTTACTTACTTAACAATTGTCTTGTTTCATTTGCTATGACATCAAAATTATCAACTATCTAATCTCGGTTGGCTAGCATGATTGTCTGATATAATCACAGCTTATCTTGTGCCTGTTCCAGAGCATGCACAATTATTGTGTTGAGTATTTCTGACACAAAATTGGCACACGTTCTGTCTTGACTCCCAAGAATGGCCGACTGTAAAACAAGGAGCTGACATTTTTATCTTCTTTATAAACTGAAGTCAATGTTGTGCAAATGGTCTATGGATTGTTGCATGCAATGGGTGCATATGGATGCTTGCACTATCGATTGCCATTTTCTTTTACTGATAATGCATTTTTGACGTCTCAGGTGGATTTGGGAACAGATGGCAGACACTGCTTCTGCAAAGAGAGTGAATTGCTGGCCGTAGTTGAATAAAGTTTCAGCTACGGGTAGGTACATTGTTTTACAGGATTATTTTGTGAAACTTTTCATTGTCAAGATGGTTTTCCATGCAGTGTTTCCAACTCCCAAAACTATATATTCAGTTCAAATTTGTTAAGTACATGCTATTTCTGCATATGCATTGATTGCATGGGTTTTGTATTATTTAATCTCCAATGTTGACACTTTAGAAAATATTGATAGGAAATTAGGAGAGGGGAGAGGAAGGCATGATTTTACAGAAGAGGGCTGCCATCTGGATTTTTAAAAGCCTTCTGAGAGAAAAGGTCTTGATCGTTGGTTCAAATCCATGGTTGGGATTAGCTTAAAAAGTTACAGTAAAACTTAAACCAAAAACTGAAGCAGATTTGTTTGCGGTTTAGTTGGTTCAATCTGATATAGAAAGCATCCGAAATGGAATTGGGAATCCGATTAGAGGTTTTAAAGATGTTTAACCCATTTTCTGGTTGAATTTGTTTTAATCTGTACCATACGTACAATTTCTCCACAGCATTTTGAATGGATCAAACATAATATGAATCCGTCCAAAAGAAAAACAAATAGAAACACAGCTAATATAACAAAGCATTCATTAGCGATCCCAATATCGGGGGTATCAATATGTAAGAAAAATAGGCCACTACAAAAGAGCTTATAAAAAATCTTTAAATGAAAATGAACAAGAAATGGTGAAAAAGGCACAAGGAATATCGCTTGTATTTTAAAAAAAAAGATACGAAGAATATGAAGAAATTTTATTTTATTTAATTTCTCAATAATCTTCTCTTTGAAGAGAGAAAAGTGGAGATGCAAGAGAGGGGGAAGCACTTGACAAAGACTAGAGGGCTGAAAATTTCACGATTCACAAAGACTTGAGAAAAATATAAACAATTTTGGTCAAGAACTTTTCTCTGATTAGGTATAGACCCAATTCTTCTAGGAAATTAGGCATAGATCCAGTTCTTCTAGCACTGACTGGGTTTATATATCTGTAGTTTTCTCTGCAGCCGCAATCGGTTAATGCTGGAAATTAGGACTTTATAAATGATCCCCAAGTCATGCGTCTAAGTACATTCTTCTCCTTGAGATGCTAGACATGCAGTCTCTGGTTTAGCTACCAAATTCATTAAGTCCAACAAAACTGATATATTATGGAGCTTTACAAGTTCAATACTCCAACTGTGTTTTTCTCATATTTTTTTGCATGCATGCTCTTATTCTTCACTCATGCCTTGGCTTAAGGATGAGTGGAAATGAGACCGATTGGCTCGCCTTGCTTGAAATCAAGGCCAGGATAACTGCAGACCCTCATGGTGTATTGACTTCATGGAATGAAACCATGCACTTTTGCAACTGGCATGGAGTTACACGCGGTCGTCGTCACCAGAAAGTCCCCGTGTTGGACCTGAATTCCTTGAAACTTGCAGGCTCAGTATCACCACATGTTGGAAATTTGAGTTTGTTGCTTGTGATTCATCTAGTGGGCAATAGATTCAGCCACGAAATCCCTCCAGAAGTCTGTCTTCTGCGCAGATTGCATGATTTACAGTTAGCTAACAATTCACTTAGTGGTGAAATTCCCTCCCACTTGTTAGCTTGCTCTCAACTCCACACAATTGATCTTGGTTACAATTCGCTGGTAGGGAGAATTCCTGACGAGCTTGGCACCTTGTCAAAGCTATTAAAAATAGCAGTTGACAACAACAACCTTACCGGAAATGTTCCTTACTCTTTTAGCAACTTATCATCTCTTGGCTTTCAGCAACATTTAATAATTTGAATGGAAGCATTCCAGATATCTTTGGCCAAAAGACCAATCTTAGCTATCTTGCTTTGGATGGAAATAGCTTGTCAGGTATGATCCCTCCCTCCATCTTCAACCTCTCTTCTAGCCTCTTTTCTGTGTCTATAAATAAACAAACTCCACGGGACTTTGCCCGCAAACTTAGGTATCGCCCTTTCAAGTCTGGAGTATTTAGGTCTTAATGCTAACCAATTTTCTGGATCAATTCCAGGTTCAATATCTAATGCCTCAAATCTAGTTCATCTAGCAATCTCAGAAACCCAACTACATGGAAAGTCCCTTCCTTACACAATTTATAGGCTCGAGCGAATTATTCTTGCTGCCAGCAATCTTGGAGGTGGGGGAATCATTGTCTGTGGTTTGACTAATTCCACTGGTTTAAGAGTATTGAGCTTTAGTGTAAACAAATTTGGGGGTATTTTACCTCACTGCATAGGTAACTTCTTCTCTCCAATACTTCTATTTTGTTGATAATAAAATATCAGGCAGCATCCCAACTGAGATTGGAAATTTGGTGAACTTGGAGATCCTATCTCTGTCTAGGAACCGATTTTCAGGTCTCACATTCCCCCTGATTTAGGAAGGCTTCAGAAATTATATCAGTTAGATATAGATTCAAATTTCTCTTTGGGCATCTTCCATCCTCTTTTGGAAATTTAAGTAGATTAGCTAATTTTTATTTAGCTTTCAACAATCTTGAGGGCAATATCCCTTCAAGTTTAGCAGAATGTCACAAATTAGTGACCTTATCTCTCGCTGCTAACAATTTTAGTTGTATAATACCCCCAGAAGTCATTGCTGCATCATTTTCATATACCTTTTTGGATTTATCCCAAAATAATTTGACTGGTTCCATCCCCAAAGAAGTAGGAAATTTGATAAATCTGATGTATTTATCTGTTTCTCAAAACAAGTATCTGGTGAAATTCCGACAAGTCTTGGCAGTTGCATAAAATTAGAAATTCTACGGATGGATGGAAACTTCTTCCAGGGGACCATTCCATCCTCTTTGAGTTAGGTCTTGAAGAATTATATCTCCAAAGGAACAACTTGTCAGGGACGATCCCAGAATTCTTGGAACATTTTGAGTTTCTGCAGTCTTTGAATCTATCTCATAACAATTTTGAGGGCATGGTACCAGTAGAAGGAATTCTCAAGAACGCAACTGCAACATCAGTCGAAGGTAATATTAAACTTTGTGGGGGCATACTTGAGTTTAAATTGCCGAAATGCAAAATCAAACATTCCAAAAGGGGAGGATTGAGCCTAAAGATGAAATTGATAATCTCTCTCATTTGTGGAGTTTTCGGAGTCATTTTTGCACTTGTTTTTTGTACCTTCATTGTTCCCGGAGGGAAAGGATCAAGGGGCATACTAAAAGTGATTCAGAAAAATTTCTCACAGTGTCTTACCAAAGTCTTCTAAAAGCTACTGATGGATTCTCTTCTGCCAACTTAATCGGTATGGGGAGTTCCGGGTCCGTTTATAAAGGAGTTCTTGAGCAAGGTGAAAGAACAGTTGCTGTCAAGGTACTCAACCTCGTTCATAGTGGAGCTTTGAAAAGTTTCGCTTCTGAATGTGAGGCTTTGAAAAATATTAGACACCGCAATGTTGTGAAGGTACTCTCAGCATGTTCGGGATTTGATCATCGTGGTGATGATTTTAAGGCGCTAATATATGAGTTCATGGCTAATGGGAGTTTAGAGGAATGGTTGCACCCGACCCAGAATATCGGTGACACAAATGAGACACCAAGGAGCTTAACTTTTTCTCAAAGGTTGAAACATTGGTATTGATATAGCTATGGCGTTGGATTATCTCCACCACCAATGCCAGACACCAATAGTTCACTGTGACCTGAAACCTAGCAATATTCTTCTCAATGATGATATGGTTGGACATGTAGGTGACTTCGGGTTATTAAGATTCCTTCACAAAACTTCTCTAAATAAATCAAGCTCTGTCGGAGTAAAAGGAACAATTGGTTATGCTCTTTAAACATTCCTTAAGTTCTAATATTTATTTTAAAAGTTTGAAGCATGAAAAACGGGTCTTTGAGAATTTAATTATAAATTACAATTTGGTGTATTTTGAATTGTTGGAATGCAGAGTATGGTATGGGACATGAAGTCTGGACACAAGGTGATGTGTACAGTTATGGTATCCTATTGTTGGAAATATTTACAGGAAAAAGGCCGACAGATGACATGTTTCATGGAACTTCAAACCTTCATAACTTTGTCAAGGCAGCCTTACGGGAACAGGTGGTAGAGATTGTGGATCCCGTTCTTCAAGAAATACCGGAAGGCGAGATGAGCGCAAACCATCTTCCTAATGAGGATAGCGTAAGGATTTGCAACAAAATTGAGGAAATCTTGATTTCAATTTTAGCACTTGGTGTTGCTTGTTTTGCAGAGTTGCCGGGTGAACGGTTGGACGTTAGTGATGCTTTGGCTGAAATGTGTCGCATAAGAAAGAATCTTTAACAAAATACAATGTTTGAATAAAGCATGTTATCATGCTAATAAATGTGCAAATGTTGTATGAGACATGAAGTATGATGTGTACCAGGGCCGGCCCTGGGTGATTGAAGGCTCAGGACAAAACTCTAAGAGTGTGCCCTTTATTCATAAATTATTATTTTTTTAATCAAATAATTAATTGAGTGCTGCTATTTCCATC